CTTCAACTCTGCGGTAAGCGGGGCCAGAGGTGGGGCTGGGGTGAGTGGGGCACATGGGGCCAGCACTGGAGCAGAGGCATCCCAAGATGATGGGCCATACTACTCATCCACCAAAGCTGCCAGTGCTTGGTGTCTGGCAGCATGGGGGCTGTGGGGGCTGTGGGAGCTGCTCTTGCCTCCCCGAGCCCTGCGCCCTGGCCAGTCTCTGCCACCCGTGGAGGAGCTGTCCCAGCCTGGCCATGCTGCATCTGCAGCACCCGAGGCTGGTGCTGCTCTGCTACTGAAACTCAGCAGTTCTGGGCTTCATGATTCCTCTCCGCAGCCAGGGGGCTTGGGGAAAAGCATTGCTTCCCTGTTCCAGGCTTCATCCCAGCTGGTAGTGCTGTGCCAGGAGAGTTGGTCCCACCACATGCTCCCAGTGCTCCCGTGAGCACCCCATGTCCCTGTCCCCGCTCTGCCTGTCCCTGCCCATGTCCCCCCCAGGTTCCCCTGCGGGAGTGTGTGCTGGCACAGACCCTCACAGCCCGCGGGTGTTCCGGCGCGGCGGCGGTGACCTACTTTGGCTGCACCCAGTCCCATTCCAGCCCTGATATCCAGGGGGAGTTTATTGTCTTTGCTAATGAGGCACCACGCTCCGACGGGCCCTTTGCTTTCCCACGTACTGGCCGTCGGCCCTGACCACTGTTCCCAGCCCTTGGAAAGCCACGGGGGGAGGGAAGGGAAGGGATGGGATGCTTCCCCCTGCCAAGCCCTGGAAGCCTCAGCTGGCCCCCCGGATCATTGTGCAAATTAATCTGTGCTGCTCAGGGGTACAGTGTCTAATTCATACTGGGGTTCCTTTCCATAAATTGCCGAGCTGGAGTTGTTTTGGGGGACAATACGGCATTGTCCCCACTGGGAGGACACCAATGCTTGGAGGATTTTCTTTTGTGTCTGTTTTTATCAGTTCGGTGCAGACATGAACCCGTCAGAGTCGCACTTCATTATCTATCCAGTGTTTGCTGGGAGAGAGGAGCCGGGGGACGTGAACCGTGTGTTGGACAACCCTTAGGATACAGTGGGAGACATGTCGTCCCCACTGATGAACCTCTTTATTTTATTTCATTTTTACAGCAACAATTCATTCTACATTTCTGGAGTCGTAAATTTTGCCTGAAAGCTGCTTTTAGGAGCGACTTGATGCATTTAATCAGAGCAGGGTCCTTATCTCAGCCATGCAACATGGTGATGTCTTAGAGAGTGACACCTCGGCCCCAATATGTCGCTGTCAGAGCAGGCTGGGGGGAGGAGAGATGTGGCTCTGTGTTACACCCCATTGCCAACACCCCCTCTGTGTTACAGTCCATTGCCAACACCCCCTCTGTATTACACCCCCCTACCAGCATCCCCCCGTGTTACACCCTGCTCCCAACAGCCCCTCTGTGGTAGTCGTGGCCCTGGGGGTGGATGTCACCAGAGGATGTGGCTGTACTGGAAATGTGCCTGAGCAGCCACATCCCAGGGCTGGCCTCGTAACGTGCCCTGTCTGTGCCCGTCCTTCTGTCTGGCGGCTGCACCAACATGGTCATCCCGGTCTTTTGCCCCTAGAACCAGGCAGAAGCCCACTACAAGGGGCACAAGCACGCGCGGAGGCTGAAGGCCATCGAGGCCATGAAGAACAAGCAGAAGGTGGCGGGGGCTGCAGCGGGGACCCCCAGCCAGGACAGTGCAGCCGACCTGTCCCCCATCCCCGAGGGCAGTGGGGAGCCCGGCAGCACAGGTACAGGTACAGGAAGGGGGGGACGGGGCTGGGGAGGCTGCAATCAGCACGGCAGAGATGCCACTGCCAGCCTTCATAAATGAGCTTCTGTGCTCTGCCCATGTGACAGGCTGAGCACGGGAACCTGAGCAGTGTCCTGGGGGGAGCCTGGCCCTGGGCATCCCTGCGGCTGTGGGGGGATGGCCGGTGTTTTCCCTGTGGTTCGGTGTCTCTGGGAGGTGTTTTGTATGGATGCGGGAGAGGAAGCGATCTCTGCCTCACACATCCCAGGGCTCTGCCACATGCAGGGACAGCCCTGGTGGGAGCATGGACACATGCAGACAGTGCCCGAGATGGTCTGGGGGAGAATGGCGGGTGCTCCCTGAAATCCAGAAAACCTGTTCAGGCACAGAGAACTTTCTGCCCATTTCTTTCTCTTTCCCATTTCCCCCTTTCCTTCCCTACCCTGCAGCTGATGCCAGCAGCCCACAGGAGCCAGAGGGAGAGGGCAGCAGCCTGGGGCTGGCGCCCAGCACTGAGGAATCACCCACGGATCTGCCAGGCAGCATCGCCTCGCTGGGCTCCCCACCGGCCTCTGAGCTCTCAGAGGGCACCTCTGATGCCACCAGCGTGGCCTCCTCGTCCGCCCAGGCAGCCGAGGCACAGGCTGCTGAGTCGGGTGGCAGCGTCAGCTCAGCCCCTGAGAGCGAGAAGGAGGGAAAGAAGAGCAAACAGCACCTGTACTGTCCCACCTGCAAAGTGACTGTCAACTCCCTGTCCCAGCTGGAGGCTCACAACACCGGTAAGGGCATCACTGCAGGGGCAGGGGGATGGGCTGCTCCATTGTTGGGGTTTCAAGCAAAATCATGCCCCATCACCAAATGGCCTCATGGGGAAGCAGCGAGCTTTAATGAGTGTTGCTGTAATTGAAAAGGGTTCGTTAAGGTGGCCTTCACAGATAAGCCGTGGGGCTTTACCTGGGCTGCAGCTTCTGTGGTGAATTTTCTCAAGGTCGAATGCTCTTATTGTTCGTGTCTCAATTAAGGGTTAATCAAGTGATTGAGGCAACTTTATATTCCATTTGGCTTGAAGCTGATAGCCAGGGCCTCTTCCAGACCCAGGATAATCCTTCCCAAAGCAGCTCGGTGGTCTGGGCTCATCGTTCTGTAGAGAAGTGCCGTGGGGATCCAACGAGCTTTGGAGCCCCACAGCCAGTGAAGGCTCCTGGGCTGTACAGGGCAGCCCCTCAGGGAGGTCACAGGTGGGGGGTGCTGAGTGTCCTCCTGAAACCTGAGGGTGGCAAGACACCCACCCCTGAGGTGGTGGTGGGTGTGGCAGCCACAGTACAGGGGAACCCGGCAGAGTCTGTGGGCCCTGCAGTGTCAGATCCTGACTCGTCCCTTTCCCTGGAGGATGCTAAAACGGAATGAGCATCTCAGTTTTAAATGGAAGGTCCTTCTCTCCCCCAGTTCAGCAAGAACTGGGAACCAGTTCTCCCATCCCAGCTGCCCACTGGGGTGGCAGCAGCCGCTGTGTGCAGGGTTGGCTCAGGACACCGCTGCGGCTTAGCTGCAGACATGTCCTTTTGCTTTTGTCAGCTCCAGTTACGAATTTAGGAGCTGATTTGGGGAAAAAGAACAAACAAACAAACGTTTGCAGGCTGGCGCTGCTCTGCGGCCGTCACACGGCTCCTTGCTTCACGCCTTAAAAAATAGAATGAATTAGCAGGGGCTTAAATTACTTGCCCCCCACGCGCCCCCGCCGTCCTGGCGCTGGCAGGGGTAGGACAGAGCGCCCTGTCCCCAGGTGTGCGGGGATTTTGGGTTCCTCCTTCCCCGCCTGCTGTGACCCAGCTGAGCTATTCCTGGCTCCGCAGCGGCTCCGCTCTGACCTTGGGCACGGCTCAGATGCTGCAGCACGGCGGGCGACGAGTGCCCGGCCCCGCAGACTGTGCTAACGCCCGGGGACAGGCGACAGGCTCCAGCACAAGCTCAAAATAGCTTCTGTGAAGGTCTGGCACATGTGGGGAGGGGTCTCTGGGAAGCTGAGCATCTCTGGTCTGCCTGTGACATGAGGCTTGGCAGGGTTTGGGAAGGGGCTGCACAGTGCCGGCAAGAATCCGGGCTCCCAGGCAGCTCCCTGTCCCCCTCTGCCTGCAAGTCCTGCCAGGCACAGGCTGGTGTGGGTTTCCTGGTGCTGTTGGAGGACACCGTCCCTGCTGCCACAGCACAGGGCTGGGCTGGGTTTGCTGAGTGTCCCCTCTCACCAGGCGCCAAGCACAAGTCGATGCTGGAAGGTCACGGCACCCAGCTGCGGCGAGGCCGGGGCAAGCTGCTCTCCCGGGCAGGGCACAAGTCCAAGCGGATCGGGAACAAGGGCAGCATCAACATCCAGAACAAGGCGTTTCACTGCCAAGTGTGTGAGATCTACGTGAACTCGGAGACTCAGCTCAAGCAGGTGATGATGCCCTGGGAGCACAGGGGGACAGGGTGTGGGTGGGCAGGGGCTTGGGGCAGGTACCTGATGGTCCCTGAAGGGTGAGGAGCATCTCCCGCGGACCCAAACTGCACAGTGTCGTGGGTCTCCCCTCACTGTCCTGGCTCCCAGTGATCCAATTGTTTTCCTCCCCAGCACATGAGCAGCCGGCGACACAAAGACAGGCTGGCGGGGAAGCCGCCCAAGCCTAAGTACAGCCCCTACAACAAGCTGCAGAAGAACGCTGCCCTCGCAGTGAGTATTCTCAAGGTACCTGTCTCCCTGCACAGCACCCTCGCTCGCCATCAGCCATCCCTGCAGTGAGTCACAGGAGCTGCTTCTCTTAAATCTCAGTTCACATCACCACACCTCAGCTGCTCCCTTCACAGAAGGTGGGCTGTGGTGGGGGGGGGGTGGATTCAAGTCTTTATTCCTGGGAAGGCCAGAATAGGGATAACTTGGGAGTGCTTTGGCAGCAGCATTCACAATGGCAGCACTTGTGATTCCTCCACCTGTTCCACGATCTCATGGAGTCTCCTCCTCCCTCCCTGCAGTCCAAGCTGGCTTTGCAGAAGCACCTCACCAAAACCCTGGCGACCCGCTTCCTGCCGAGCCCGCTCACCGCCGCTGCCGTCTGCGCCATGCCCGGCCCCCTCGCCCTGCGACCAGCCACTGCCACCACCCTCTTCCAAGCCCCGATCCTCGGACCAGCCCTTTTCCGAACGCCGCCGGCCCACGTCCGCACCACGCCGGGCCCCATCGTCTTCGCACCCTACTAGAGCTGCTGGCCCGCCGAGGGTCCGCGCCGCGGCCGGGCTGTGCTGCGGGGGCTGCGCGGGGCAGGGCAGCGCTCCCGCTACCTGCTCTCCTGGCTGGTGGGAAATCGTAGTCATAGACATCAAACCCAGATTCTCCTTTGCTTGGAGCAGGCTCCTGCTGGAGTGAGGTGCCCCGGCAGAGCCTGGCCAGCCCTGCCATGCATCCCCACCGCTCCCCCGGCCCGCGCCAGCCCCGCTTGGCAGAGCAGCCCATCACGGCTGGGCAGTGCACAGGAGAGGACGGTGCCTGAGTCAGCAGGACCGTCTCATGGCCATGGCCTGTCTGTCCTTGGCCTGCTGGCTGCTTCTTCATCACCCTCTCAGTTACCAGACTGGAAGGAGAGGAGCTGGCTGGTCCCTGGGAGAAGGAGCATCCTTCTGGTCCCTGCTAGCCCAATGGGAAGGGAACTGTGAGGGAAGTCTCAGCCCAGCTCTTACTGGGAGAGTAGGAGCACAGGTGGGAAGCTGGCAGTTCCCCTCTCAGCCTGGGCTGGCTGTGCCCTCGCCAGCCCCACACTTGCCTGTGCTGGCTGGGGGTTTCTGTGCCACCCACCAGCCCCTCAGTTCCCACATCTCCCTACATCCCACCAGCCAAAGAGCCCCAGCGGCAGCAGGCACCAGCCACACTGACCGTATCCTCACTCCAAGAGCAATAGCTGACCCCAGGGCCAGTGCCTCCCCCCTCCAAAGCACACGGGCCCTGCCCTGGCCCCAGAAGCACACAACGGGCATATGGCTGAGCCAGGCCCCCTCCCGCCCAGCGAGGCCGGGAGCGCCAGGCTGCCCGGTGCTGGGTCCCCGAGGAGGTGACCCTGTGCTTGGCACCTCTCCTTGCCTCTGTCCCACCATGGGGACAGCCCTGCCCCTACCTCCCGGGAGATGCTGTGAGGCTGAGTGAATGTCCCTAAAGCACTTTCGGTTCTCCAGTGAAAGGCAACGCTGCTGCTCGCCCGCCGTGCCCGGCCCTCCAACCCCATCCCCATTAGGAGCTTCCAGGGAGTTACTGAATGATTCCCAAAAACAAAGGTGTCCCCAGCAGCCCGGACAATCAGGTACGAAGGAGCAGGTGGCACCTGTAGCCTGCATAATGCTGGGCTCCAGAGGGACCCCGAGGCTGTAGCTCTGCATTTCACTGTGCTCAGACAGCCCAGCCATGACCTGGTCTGGGACTGTGCCTGCGGCACTCCGGGTGCCCAGCGCGCTGCTGTACACGGAGACACGCAGGAGAGCTGCATCCCGAACGGACCTTTCGCTGGAGGAACACCCCACCCCGATCTATGCAATCCAGGGGGGCAGCTCGCCCGCCGCGTTAGCCACCTGCGTTTCCCTTTGGTGCTGATGTGTCCGTACAGTCGGGAGCAGCGGTGGGAGCAGAAGAACCAACGTAACACTGAGCTCTGTCCCGTCCTCAGCCCAAGATGCTGGCTCAGACCTCTGCCGTGGCCCACGTTCCCTCCCAGCCCTCGGGAAGAGGCAGGTTGGTGTGTGCACCTGGGAATCCACACGCACAAGCACACATATCCGACGTCTTGGCCATAAGCAGCACCTGGATTTAAGGAGGATTTTGCCCAGTGTGCTCTGCTGATGCTCAGGATGGGTCCTGGCATGGGGAGCTGAACAGGAACCGGCCAATGAGCCACTCTGGTGGCTGAAACTTTTCTGCTTCCCAGGGCTGGAGCCTCAGCGAGGGCAAGGAAAGCTGCCCAGAGGGAGCAGGGCACAGGGAGCCGCACACCCTGCAGGGCCTGTGGGCAGCACTGACCGTGGAGCCACCGCTGTGCTCCTGCCCCAGAGACAGGAGAGTGATGGAGCCCCTGGGAATGGATTCACCTGCCCAGGGCATCTCTGCCTCAGGGAAGGAGAAGAGTGGAGACAGGACACTGGGAGAAGAGTGAGTAGCCGTGAGTAGAGACAACAGAAAGGTCTTGCAGTGGTGATGGGAGACGTGGCTTGGAGTGCAGCTGAGGGAAGGCAGGCTCTGCCAGGGACAGGGAGATGGTCCCACAGCCCAGGGCACACGTGGGGATCCTGAGTCCCAGGGGACAGGAGCCTGCGCTGGTGGGGCCCCCAGCGGCAGGAGGGACGTGACCCCAGTCCCCTGTGCCACAGTGCCAACCAGCCCATGGCCAGCACGGCTCCAACCACCCCCGCCCAGCTCACTGTGCCCTCCCCAGGCCCTCAGGGTCACCCCCAGCCCGGCGGTGGCAGAAGAACAGGTCCTGTCCTGCTCCGTGTCCCTCCTGTGCCGTGCCCAGCGCCTCAGGAGCACGGGGAGCCAGGAGCAGCCAGGCTCCGGCCTCCAGAGCCGCGTGGCACCGCTGGGCCTGTTCCCCTCCAGTTTGTTCCAAAAAGCCTGTGCTGGAGCTGCGGCTGCTCCGTCACCCCTCACCAGTGGAGTCCTGAGACACTCCTGTACTTGGCACTTTAACCCTGAGAAAGCCATTCCTTCTAGTAACAATAATACTGCAACGAGCTGCGTAAGAACCCCCCATTACAGCATCCCCCCTGCCAAATCCCCCTCCTGCTCTCCAAAGCATTTACTGCCTTTGACTTAGCACATGCTGTACTAGGAGTAGGGATAGTCCATAGCGCTCGGTAACATGTGCCCCTCTGTAAATAACCTTGGAGTGATGTGAAGTTTGATTTAAAAAAAAAAAACAACAAAAAAAAAAACCAACCCCAAATGGAATCTCCAGACTCTAGGGACTTGGCCAGTACCCTCCTGTAATGTTCATTGTATATTTTTTTGATGTACTATAACTGTTGGGAAAAAAAAAAAAAAAGGAAAATATTTTGATAATCGAATCTCATCGCTTTATTGTGTTACTCAGTAAATAAAAGGAACAAATATAAACAGGCCAGGTCTTTTTGTCATCTCTTTTCCTACATCCAGACTACCTGAAGGGAACTGGTGTTGCTGGACAGGACTGGGACACCTGTGCCTTGGTTTTATGGTAGTTCTGAGAGAAGGCAGCACCGTGATAGGTGGGCAGGGAGAGCTGCTGCAGCCTGAAGCATCTGGGTGTGCAGGGTAAGCAGAGTCCCAGCTCCTCCAGGGATCCAGGTGTGCAGGGTAAGCACAGTCCCAGTTGCTCCAAGGTCATGGCTGAGTCTGCACCCAGAAGAGCAAGGCTGGATTGGTGGATTTGGGCACCCTGCACTCAGGAACAGCACCTGCCCTACCCTAGGCATTCCCTGGGGCAGGATGCCTGGATATTCCTGTGCATAAAGGAGCAGTGGGCACTGCTAGCTAAGGAGCTGCAGCACAGAGCCAGCTGGGGTAGGGCCGGGAGAGCTGCTCGTCTGGAGGCAGGGCCAGCAAAGGGGCTCTTCCCACATGGTATCAGGAAATAGAAAAGAGAGAGGGAGTTCTTCCCTCTAGCCCAGCTGCAGAGCTGGCCAGCCTGTGCCTCTGCTGCCCCCTCCCAGCCTGCACCCGAGAGCAGAGGGGTCACTGGGTGAATCCCGGCCTTCCTGCAGCACCTTGACAGTGCAGAGGCCAGGCAGGGAGAAGGGTGGTCCCTGGCCCACTGCCTCTCTCATCCTCAAGGACCATTCCCAGCCCTGGGACGACTGTTCTTCCTGCCACCTGCTTCCCACAGGCTCCGTGACACCAGACAGGCTCAGCAGGAGGGGTGTGTGCGAGGGAAGCAGGGAGGTGAGGAAGAGGAGGTGGCAATGGAAGGGAAGGGGAAGAAGGCTCAGCCATCCATGGATCCGCTGCCCTTGTTCTTGCGGCTCAGGGGGAACGCAGACTTGCTCTGTGGCTGCGTCATCTTGCTGGCCAGGTAGATGAAGGGCTCGATCAGCGAGCGCCGGTCGGCCACCGAAACCTCCCACAGCTTCACCTTCTCACCCTTGGCCCAGTGCTGGGCTGCCTCATGGTCCACCCGGCGCTGCTCCTGCAGGTCACACTTGTTGCCCAAAACCACGATGGTGACCTGTTCCAAAAGGGTGAGAAGGGTCCCTGAAGGTAACAATGGCAGCACTGCAGGGCTGCCTGACTCTGCCCAGACACCCTTGGGGCTGGACCCAGCTCTGCCACTGATCCCCCCTCCATGTCGAGACCTTTTGAAACCCCACGGTCCCAGTGCTCCCTTGCCCTCCTCTTGTGGTCTGTGTGTCTCAAAGCAGCTCCAAAGTGGAACGGGCTGTCGAGCACCTGTAGCCTCAGAGAGCACCCCAGGACAGAGCCCATGACAGCTGAGTCTCACAGATCAGGGACCTATAACCGTCTTGCGACAAGCTGGAGCAAAGGTGAGAACCTGCCAAGGGGAGCAGACCCCACTCTGCAGCCCCTGCCCCCAGGGGACTCACCTCCTTCTTGTCCTTGGACTTGTCGATCTCCTTCTTGAGCAGCTCCACGCGCTTGAAGGACTCCTTGCTGTCGGTGCTGTAAACCAGCACGTAGCCGTCGGTGCAGGAGAAGCAGTGCTTGGGCAGCTCCAGCCCGTCCCGCAGCCCCCGCGTGTCGTAGAAGCGAACCTGCTCCCGCACCCCGCGGTCCGTCTCGATGGAGCCCACGTAAATGTCCTCCTGGGTCTCGATCATCTCCGAGCCTGGCGGGGGTGGGCAGGGGACACGTGGGGACCCTGCCGGGGGTCTGGCCCCGGCACAGCCCGGGGAGATGCCCCGCCGGGCGGGTTGTGCCCTCCCGCACCTCCCGTGTTTAGAGCTGAGCAGGGACAGCCCTGCCCAGCGCCGGCCCCGCCCGCGGCACACGGGGCCGCCGCCTCGCCGGGGAGCAGAGGGGCAGCCCCGCACTCACCGACCACATGGTTGCCGTAGAGCAGCTGCTCGAGGATGGAGGTTTTGCCGACCGAGGCCTGCCCGCACACCACCACCTTGCAGCTCTTGCCCATCCCGCCTCACCGGCCCCGCGGGCGGGCGCGGCCGGGGCTCAGGGGCGGCGCCGCAGCGCCCCCCAGCGGGCGGGCGGACCGCGGGGCCCTGCTGCAGGGAGGGGCGTGGCGCCGACAAGACCCACCCCCATGACAGTGGCCCCCGCGGGCCCGCGGGCGGGCGCCCCCTGGCGGGCGGGCCACCTCCGCCCCGCCCCCGGCGTAGCCCCGCCCGTTCCGGCGCTGGCCCCGCCCAGCCCCGCGCGGTAAGATGGCGGCGGCGGCGGCCGAGCCCGAGTGCGATGTGGTCATGGCGGCGCCCGACGGGCCCGGCGAGGCCGACAGCGACGAGGAGACGCGCAGGTACAGCGGCGGCCCCGGAGCCGGCCGGGCGGGGAGCGGGTGGCCGGTGACGCTCCCGGCGGGCGGGCTGCGGCTGGGAGCGCCGCAGGGCCCGGGAGCCGCGGCGGGGGGCGGCCGCAGGTGCTCGGCCGGGATGGGAGCGCTCCCCGGGGCTCCGGTACCGTCGTGACAACCGTGGGCCGCACGCGGCGGGGCCCGGGAGCCGCTGGAGCTGGGACGCGGTGCCCGTGTGTTGCCGGTGAGCTCCCGCGGCCTCCGTGTGCACCGGCATTCGAGCATCCGCCCGGCCCATATGTCCCGGCAGGGCAGCTCACACCCTCTGCCCCGAGCCCGCACACCGGTGCCGGCGGAGCGCGGCCTCCCCTCGCGGAGGAGGAAGAGGAGGATTGAACAGCTGCCGAACGGGGGGCTTCAAACTCCTACATTTGACGCCCTTTGCTGCTTCATCACCCCAGTCCCCCGGTTCCTGGTCCGTTTGAAACCTGCCCGTGGTGGGTTTTGCCCCGGCCTGCCTTGCTGTGGATAACGGGAGAAACGCCCTGGGCAGGGCCCTCCCCCGGGAACGCTCCATCCCCGGGAGCTCCTGCGAGCTCCTGCACCGTGTCCCTGCAGTTCTCCGGTGCACCGTGCCCCCGAGGCGGGGGCGGTGGGAGCCTGACCCTTCCTGCAGGTTTACCTCCCAGGAGTGAGCAAGCTGGAGCGCTGAGGGCAGGAGGTGAGAAGATCCATGTCCAGGAAACTCCACTGGTTACACAGCAGTGGACGCTGGGCTCATCTCCCAGGGAGTTCCTGTGGGAGGGGAGGGAATGGCTCCCGAGAATTATCCAATGGAATGAAAAAGAGGAAACAAAACCAAAAGTGGCCTCTGAGGAACAGTGGTTTCAGACTCCCATGGGTGGCCTGAGGGGTTCTGTGCAATTGAGGCCTGAGGAGCAGCTCCCTGGGGAGGTCCTGCTGAGCAGGAAAGGAGGAGCTGCTGAAGAGGCACCTGGCTGAGGCTCATAGAGCACCGGGACAGCCCTGCGTAGGCACGTCATTCCTGCCCCTGGGCGAGGGAAATGTAGTGTTTGAAATGGTAAAAATTCCCAGAGGTAAAAGCCTGGCTGAAGGCACAGGTGTCTGCTGGCAGCGACCTCTAGCACTCTTCCTTCCTTCCCTTCCTGGCTATACCATGCCATGCACCTCCATAGGTCCAGCAGACAGGAGTTACAGAGTATTCCAAGTTGCCTTCACAATGTTTCCTTTTCATGTTTTTGGGATAATGAGATCTGCGTTTCAGGGTGGTTGTAACTAAAGTTCTGCAGCAGCTGCAGACGTGCCAGCGGGCTCCCAGGGTGTCCAGGGCACAGGAATGGAGTGTGGTCACAGGATAATTATTGTCTTGCTGCTGCCTCATGGATTGTTGGGGTCCTGGCGGAAGGGGTTGATGTAATTGTGTTAATTTTATCCATTAGCGCATCAGTGCAGAGCAGCTGATGAGCAGGGCTGGGCCACCCCCAAAAGCTCACTTGTTTCTTCATTAATTTTAAAGGTTTCTCACCCATGGGAACAGTTTTTCCCTGCTCCCAGCTGCTCTGCGAGCTTGGGTCCCTGGAGCTTTGCCAGGGAGAATTTCCTTGTCATCTTCCTGGCAGCTCTGGGTTCTGGCTCCTGTGCGTGCTCCAGGCTGGATCTTTCTCCTCCTTCTCCAGCTCTGGAGGATGTGGGAGCCTCTTGAAAAGAAATACCTCAGATGGTTGGGAAAATCCCGTGGTGAGGTTGTAGTGCCCTCACTGCAGACCTGGGGAGCGTTGGTGCCTCCGTGGGGAATTGTTCCCGCAGCGAAGCGACGAGTCCTGGAGGCTCCAGGCATGGCCTGGCTGGGGGTCACTGGTCGGTTCAGCAGGTGTTGGTGAGCAGCAAGAGGCTTTTCCAGTGCAGTTCTCATGAAGTGAGGTGAATCCTGGTGAGACTTGTCTGGAACACATGTCATTTCTCACCAGCTCTCAGGGCAGCACTGGCAGGAGGGAGGGGAATGGGCTGAGGGGCACCACGTCATTCTGGGATAGCCTGGAGAAGGCTCCACTACTCCTGTTCTGCCTATAAACAGGCACTTGAGTTTCCCAGGTGATAAATTCAGCCCATTTTACTCATGTGGAATGATGATCTGATGATCATACCAGGAGCAGCAGAAGCTGCTCCTGTAGTTGTTTGGTCCCCTGTGCATCTATAGAGTATTTGAATGTCTGACTTAGGCAGTTGCTTTATCCATGAGGAAAAAGTGATCTGTACCTACAGTTCCAGCCTTTTTCTTTGCTTTTCTAGGGTGAATCATGATGTAAGTGCAGTTGTTTTCCCATGGTATTCTTGCAGCTGGCTAGCTTCCTTCATTCAAAAGAAATTGCTTCCTTCAAAAAAGCAATCTCTGGCTGATTCTAGACCTTTCCATGGGTTGTCATCTCACAAAAGTTATGCTGTGGGCCTGCCAGGAGTGATGGAGCCATTGCTGGGAATTAGGTTAATTCCGAGCTCCGGGAATTACATAACGGCACAATTAAAGTTGGGGCTCAGCTGCCGTTCTCCCTCATGGCTGCAGGGGA